TGGAACCGGGGATTGAACTCAGACCCTTGCACTTGTTAGGGAAGCGCTTATTCCACCAAGCCATCTCCTCAGCCCCAAGTTAGGTTTATTTGAACTTCATTTCAGCCCTTCTAGAGGTATTTAAAATTTAGTTCAGTTCTTTCCTACTAAATATTTTAATTAATTAAAGATTAATTAAAACACTTGAAAATATCTAAATGTAAATTAAGTACTAACAGAAAATTAGCTTAATCCACTCACTGCCATACTCTTTAAAATGAAGACAGGAGTTTTGTCTGTCCTTTTTAAGTACTAAAAGAGACAATGTCAATATTCTCTAAACTTCCTCTTTGGTAGAGGGAAAAAAGGACAGACAGAACTCCTGCCTTGATTTTGAAGAGCATGGCAGTGAGTGGATTAACCTAATAGTCTAATAGTTGCGCATATGTAGATCTCATTGATGTCTTCACTTTCATTTTCTTTATATGATCATATACTTTGTCGCCCAGGTCATTTTCATTTTGGAAAGTAAAAAGGGACACCAGCAATCTTTCAGTTGGACCATGAAATATGAATAATTCCAAGCAAATCAGAATAAGTGATCACTTGACATTGACCATAAGCATCTGGTATGTTTATTCCGTCCTTTCCTTTTCACTCTACCAGTGCTTCTCCTTATAATTGTCACTCAAGTACCAGGTGTCATTCTAGTTGGTTTCCTAATTTATCAAGTCTATTTTAGATTCAGGCCCAACCTTTTAAGGTCATGGAATGGTAGTATTCTTAGTGGAAGAGATTTTGTTAAGAATCTGGGAGGCCTGCCCCTTAGCTCAGTTCTTTTAAGTGGCTGCTTCAACAAAGCAGTCAGGCTCAGGTTGCTGTGGTTCGATCCCCACAACTCAAGCCAACTAAACCTGCCCTGAAGGCATTCGGAGCAAAAAAAAAAAAAAAAAATCCTTCTGCCTTTACAAAAAAAAAAAATAATAATAATATAGTTTGAGGTTCAAGAACAGCAACAACAAAAAAATCTGATTGCAGGGGCCAATGAGATAGCTCAGTAGAATAAGTGCTTACCTGGCAAGCGCAAGGGCTTGAGTTCAATCCCTGGTTCTGCCCTTAAAAAAAAAAAAAAAAAAAAAGAAAGGATCTGATTGCAGACTTCACTTATGTGACAGACAACTCCACATTTTGACTTTCCCTTATATTTACAGTTTTAAAACAGAGTTGTCAACTGGTTATCAGCTCAGATTAGCTCCTGTCCACGTGAGCCCTTGGTGATTCCTCTCTGCTGCCCATCTCTTCTTAACTCATTGCAAAAAGTAAAGCGGTTCAGGACTTCCCAGAGAGAATAATCACGTTAGGGAGATGAAACACCAGGATCACCGTATAGAAGCCAGAATAATATCTGAGGGGAAAAGCAAAGTGCCAGCCAAAAGTAGGTATTTTGCAACCTTTTAGAATCAGTAATTATGTTGAATGGGTATTGGATTTTCAGAATGGATTGTGTTAAAAATTTGGAATGAATTTTTTGAAAAACAAATTTCAAGGCAAAGCCTAGAAGTACAGATGTCACCATTAAGGATGTTAACTGGTCAACATGGAGGATTTTATTTTCTTTCCCTGTACCTATGTCTGTACAGGAAATTCGTCCTCAAAGGACACCTCCTTCCCCTCACTCCAATCCCTAGGAAGCCCTGTATCTCCCCAATATACTGCTGTTGCCCACACCTCCCTCATTCCTGTCTGCCCTCCTACATCAGTAGCATTCACTGTAGAATCAGCCTCATCTTTGTTGACTCCACTTTCCTGAGCTGAGAAACCTGGCTCTTCCCAGAAAGTCATTGTTTTCCTGGCAGCCGTTGACATGGATGGCTTTTCACCTCACCTCTTCACTGGCCAAGAAGTACAACAGGTAATACTTCTTGCCCAGCATTGCTCCTCAGACTAGCCTTTCTTCTCCCTAAAAATTTGAACCTTATATAATAGGTGAGACCACTGTACCACTCAGTGTTGCTGTCTTTTGTTTCCATGCCACCTTCTGTCATTTTTTACCACTTGCATCTGTAGCTCTTGCATCTTTTCTTCCATTCTTAAGAAATCCATCTTAGAGCTCTTTGGCCTCCTCTTAGTGAACTCTTGCACTGTCCTGTGTTAGACAGTACTGTATTTCCTTGATCTAAAGTGTGACAGCTCCCACATCTTAACATTCACCCAATGCTTTGATCTTGCTACCCCGTGTCCATCCTTCTCTCAGACTTTAGAAGTCTTTTGTCCAGACAAGAACCAGAAAACCCATTAACTCGCCAACTTTCAATCCCTGGTTGTCCTCTAGCTTCTTTGTGTTGAGGTTTTTCTAGTAGTTATCTATACTACTGTCAGATAAACTCTACTCAGTGTATAATAGTTGGTCAGTAATACTCATTAAAGAAGACAATATTTGGAATGAATATTTAAACTCACAGGTGGTTTTTCTTGCTTTTGCCCTTCAGAAATATTTGTTCTCTTATGTAATTATGGCATATATTTTCTCAGGAGCCACAAATAACAGCTAACTGGTTCACTACCTTTTGCAGAGTTTGTTAAAGAACAAATCTAAGTACCTGTTAAGCTATACTCAATTCTTAATGCAAGTCAGTGAGGTAAGTTGAAAGAGCCCCAAAACAAACAGGTGTTAGGTGGTTTCCCTATTATCCATGTTATAGTTAGAGAAAGATGTTCTGCTGTACGTAGGAGGCAGTCTCCACTTTGGGCTGGCCACGTCTGTCTTATAAGATCTCTCATCTTTGTGAAATAATTCAAAAGAGTTAATTGAGCTGAAGCAAACATGAGACGTAGAAATGCTAAAATTCCCATGAATCTTGCAGTGTGAAGACATGAAGCCAAGTTCTATGACCCATTCAGTCATCAAACTTGATATTTCAAGTGTTTGTAATGAAAAGTGAACGGTATAGAAAACCCTAAATTTTAGAAACGAATGTAAGCTGCTATTTTTAAGTTAGTGGTCATACAGATGCAACAATTTGTTAGTTATAAGGAACCTGAAATCAACATCTATTTTATCTTACCTCCTGTTATAGAAAAGGAAGAGGAAACATAGTGAGATTAAATGGCTGATTTAATGTGATAAGGGATGGAAAGCAAGTTGACACTCAGCTTGCAGGAGCTAATGCTTATTGAGTGTTTAAGTAGGGAGCAAATACTGCCAAGCATTTTACACGCATCACAGAATCTTCACACTAAGGTAGAAAGGGAACGCTGATTATCAGCCCCATATTATTTTTTCTGAATGAAGAAGCAGCCCAGAAAAGTAAAAATAATTTCCTTAAACACACCAAATAGTCCATAAAGAGGCAGTCAAGGGCCGTCCCTTATGGGGAGTTACACATCCCTTAAATGACTCAGCAAAGATGAATAATACACATAATTAGATCATTTTTTTTTCATGGTTCACAATAAGATGGGGAAAATGGCATTATGATAACCAATTTGAGATATTTTCTCTTAGAATACTTATTTCAGAGAATTCCTTGGAGTGATTTTAGAAATTCAATAGCAAACCTCCATAGAGTAGTGGTGTATATAAATATTCAAAAGCCAGCTTACTATAAATTCAGTTATTAAGTGGATCAATATCCCCAGAGTAAACATACCTGGTATTTAACTTCAAAATAATTCTTCTAATTGCAGTGTTTTTTCAGAACACAAAGTAAAAATATTTAAAATTGGAAACATAACAATACTATTTCAGAAATTTCTTTCCTGCTTTATTCTTTTTTGTGTTTTTTTTTTTAAATGTCTATTAAATGGTGACTAAGATATACAAAGGTAATGGACTGTCTTCCATATCAAGAATGGTTCATTATGAAACATTATGGTTTTCTGTTACTCGGGGACTCTAAATACTTGCTGAGAATTAAGGCAAACTGAATTTCATAAATTAAATATTGTCAGCCCACAGTGTATAGGCCATTTAAATTTCTGTTTTCTCCAAGTTACTCCAATTACTCTTTATAAATGA